GACTTTTTGCCTTTTTTGAAGAAACAGTACTTTTTCCGCACCCTATATAGTTGCACAGTGAGCAGATGTCCTCTTTGAACGTCTTCTTTATCAGACCGCTGTAATGATTATGATTATCGTTGTGCTTGATAATGTGTCTAGCGAGCTTCCGCAGATGAGTTTTCGATGTATTGTATGGTTGCTATGATTAGAAGTGTGATATGCACATGATGTCTTGCTGTTGATATTTGGACGACATCGGGAGTGGAAGCGTGTCGCATATCGCACCGCTTCAAGGAAATCAGATTGTCGGTCGACCCTGGCGGCGAACCCTGAACGTTTGTAGACGAAGAATAGTTTTAAAAGACTGAACGCACAAGACGAGACATCTAGTCCTATGCCTTCTTTCTCTTGCAGTAACATGCTAGTAGCAGTGTAATTAATTGTCGGCTTTTGCTAATTTTTTCGCATTAGTATCATGTACATAGACGTGACTATATATACTGTATTTCATGCTAGATATCACCGTAGTATTTTTTTTATAGATCTGTGTTTATATTTCTTTAACTTCTGAAATGAACGTTTGGTGCGCTGGCAATACCGGCACTGCAGAGAAGGCTACGTCATAGGTGAGAAGAAACCACGTTTGCCAAAAAAGTATAGAAAGATAACAAGTGATCAAAGAGAGTATTATCCTTTGACGTATTACCTCTGAATCAGCAGGTATTGTCGAGTCTCGCATCGCAAAATTGTTGGCAATTACAGTTCGTAAGCCTCAGGCAGTGTTGGAGAATCGCGACGCGATACCGTCGCGTCGCGATTCTCCTACAAGACAACAGTTACGAGTCTATTGCAGGCCGATCATCTAGTATTTCGATTGTGATAGTTAGTCACGATTACTTGTGTTGAAAACCATCACAACCGAAATGCAAGATGATCGGCATGCAGATTCGCAACTGTTGCCTTGTTAAAGAATCGCAAGGGATAAAATAAAATGAACTCTGCCCGAGGCCTCATTCGTTTTTCGTAAGTATTTACGCATAAAAATTTGTTAACATGATCTGAGAGACAAAATGAAGAGAAAACAAAATAACATAAGATGAGAAAGTTGGGTCAGGTTCATTAGTTGTGTCTTGCGGTTCATGCAGTTTGTCTTGCTTTCTGGAACTCTGTTATGAAGCTCAGCTGCGCCAATGCAAATTATTGTTGCTCAGACTTGCGAACTCCTTTTGTTTCATTATCTAGAAAACCGTGTTTTGTTAAAAGTATTAAAGCATATTATAAGCTTACATCTGTTCAGCAGCAAGCCTGGTGTTTTTCTGAGCTGTACTGTTCAGACTCTTATAGTACACTGACTACAATAACAAACATAATGCTAAAATATCACAATCTTCTGTAGTCATTTCACTTACCTTGACCTTGTCACAGCCAGCCTCATACCAAATTTTGACACGCCGCTTCCATATCCGAGAGTATCTTCTCCAGAACCTATCGATTAGTCAAGCATGATTGACTTTTGAAACTTACAAAGGCTGTCACTTAACTTACAAGAAGAGGATACTTAGTCGAAAGCACCAATCCAGGTGAGACATATATCATTTTAAAGCGCTTTAAACGCTGATTCCAAATCTGCAGTTTCTAGCTGCGGAGCGGTTTTGTAGAAAGAGTTATGAAAGGTGTTCCGCTCTGGGGTTTAGGCGCCCTCCAGCGGTCTCCCCTTATCTGTAAGCACTGTAGAGGAGTATCAGCTGATGGCAACTGACCTAGTGGTGAGCGAAGTGCTTGATAAAGAGAGTGCCAAGGTTTGAATCCCCTTCGCATGCTAAACTGAACTTCTAAATGGCTTTAGAGCCCTAAAGCATGAAACTTTTGATAGTATTGATACTAATCGAAGTTAGAAGTGTTAAAAACCAAGGTAATATGAGTATTATAATCTTTACTGTAATCTTCATTCAAGTTACTTACCATTAGGTCAGTTGCCATCAGCTGATACTCCTCTACAGTGCTTACAGATAAGGGGAGACCGCTGGAAGGCGCCTAAACCCCAGAGGGGAACACCCTTCATATCTCCTTCTACAAAACCGCTCCGCAGCTAAAACCTGCAGATTTGGAATCAGCGTTTCAAGCGCTTTAAGATGATATATGTCTCATCTGGATTGGTGCTTTCGATTAAGTATCCTCTCTTGTTAGTATCGCGTTTCAAGATGAGACACATATCGGAATCAGTTTCGAATGCTGATTCCAAAAATGCTGTTGCTAGCTGCGGCGCTTTATTTTGAAGGAAGTAATGGGCTTTTTTCTGTGCACAATCGCTATACTTTCCCATATGGTAAGGCTGCCTGTAGATGGAAATCTGCCTAGAAACAGTGCTGGAGTACCAAAATTAGATCCGACTCTGGGTTACCCCGCTCCGACCGGCCCTGTCAAAACACTATGATAAAACTCCCATCACTATCCCTGTACAATCTTTCCCTGTTCCTTTTTCTACATACCAACTCCAACTCCCTATTCCCGCTGTGTCATTAATTAGCATGCTCGCTTATCCCTGTGCCAACTCCCCGCCCCGTAGAACTTCACAAAAATCAATGAAATTGATAGAAGTGGATAATTCCAAAAACTAATGTTGTATTTGTAATCAGCATACTCGACTACCCCTGTGCCAAATCCCAATCCCGTATTTGAACTATGCAAAAAAACCGATAAAAATTGATAAAATCGATATCAATAGATAACGAAAAGTGGCCTATGACATCCGCCCTGCCCCGAAGTGTATGTGTGCCAAGTTTGGTCAGGATCGGTTCAGAAATAAAATTTTCTATTTGGAACATACAGACGTACAGACATACATACATACATACATACATACATACATACATACATACATACATACATACATACATACATACATACATACAGACATTCAGCTTTATATCAGGTTGGCTCGAAAGTTCTTGCGTAATTCAAACAAAATTCAATAACTTTTCAATACCTAGACTTAAATCAACACTCTTGTTCTCTAAAAATATTAGAAGGAATGCGCTCCATGATGAACGTTTGAGCGCACAATTTCATTGGCTCGACATCGAGAACGAACTTCTCAAATATGGTGATTCAAAATTTGCGATTTTGAGTTTGGTGCCAGAAAATCGCAGAATGCCGCTAGCTAGCCGAAAAAAATCTGTAAAAATTACTACACAGCAGAAGTCCATATGTTACTTTGGAAGGCATTGATCTTGTACGGCGACGCAAAAACAAAAAACTCGTGAAATATGTCATTTTGCGAAAATCCCCTCATTATCACAGTTTTTCGGCCAAAACACTTTTTTACACTCCAAAAAGCGTCGCAAAGTTATAATAGGTGCAAACTGTGTTTTTGTGGAAAAATAACAGCAATAAGGGGATTTATCCTATAAGATGACAAATTCCACAAATTTTTTGTTTTCGCATTTCCATGCGAGATTAAAGCCTGCCAAAATAACGCATAGACTTCTGCTTGTAAGTAATTTCTACAGATTTTTTTTAGCCAGCGGTCCTCTGCGATTTTCTGGTACCAAACTCAAAATCGCGAAATTTGAAGCCCCATCTTTGAGAGCTTCGTTCTCGAGGGCTAGCTCATGGCATCCTGCACTCAAACGTCCATCATGGAGCGCATTCCTTCTAATTTTTTTAGAGAATAAGACTGTGAATTTAGGTTTTGGTATTGGTTATTGAATTTTTCTGAAAAGTTATTGAATTTCGTTTAAATTAAGCTTAAAAAAGAACTTTCGAGCCAACCTAATATATAAGATCGCGTCCGTAGTTGACAAGAGACTTGACGCAGTCAATAGCACATAGGTAATAATACCGTAATTAGGGTTACCGTAATTTTGCATGTAAAAAAATCAGTAACTCCCTTCAGAGTAATGTGCCGCAGCTAGAAACAGCATATTTGGATTGAGCGTTCGAAGCTGATTCCAAATATGTGTCTCATCTTGAAACGCGATACTAAATGAAGTGACATCCCTTGTTAGAGTGATTTTCAAGTTTAGCTCCAACCACCTTTCGTGTTTACTTAAGCGATAAACGCACCAAGTAGGGGAAAAATTATGAGATTTGCGCATTGTAGATCGAGGAGCGCATCTTAGCTCTTGTGTGTATAAATTCACAATGTTAGTAGTGAGCAAGATAGCTGCATCCGGATAAGTACTTGTAATCACTGCCAATTCGCATATGGAAAAAACAGTACTTTTCCTGCAGAAATTTAATCAAGAAATCACTGCAAATTTTCCACCAACTCTTCAACACATTCGCGATCAGCCATTTTTTCGATAACTGTCATTTTTTGGCCATTCGCAATATAAATATCTCAGACACTCGCGGTTGAGTCGCGCAGGGGATCCGCCCACAAAATGGGCGTTCGCACCAAAATCCGGTGGACCGGCGCGAGTCATCATTTCAGTTTCGTCCCAATTTTGGTGCGATTTTGTCGCGACCGGCGAGTAGATTTCGAAATAATGCACCTATACGTCAGTTCTTCCCAGCATTTGTTGCTTTTTCTCTTCCTCTTGATTTGAAATACTCTTTCAATTGTTATTTTGTACTGCTCGTACAAAATCTTTCGTCATAAGTGCATTTTTCAAGCGCTAGCTGTAGTTTTTTGAAAATTTCTACGTGAAAAGTTTTTTTTTGATATTCGTGTTCAGCTATCTCCTAAATTGATAAGATTTTCTCATCACCACCGCTAGTACTGTAAGGTATAATTTTGCATCTAAAGCCGCCTATTTTATGTCAAGTACGTGGATTGCGTCAGAAAGCTAGGGAGTTTATTTTCCTGATGAACTACTGTCCCTTTCATCACAAGTTTTTTTTCCTTTGCTATTCGATGAATCTGTCTTCTCCCAGTTAGTTTCTTGTGCATTCTGAGCTTACATGTTTTCATGTAGTCTGCTACTCCTTTTTCCATTCTCGAGGCTGCCTCATTTTCTTGTTGTCCTGGGCTGTATTATTGCAATTTCTCTATCTAAAGGCCCGTTCTACACGGGATGACAAAGATCGACGAGCGAGGCTCTGATGAGAATACTCCAATGGACACTGTGGTTGCTAAGAAAAATAATGAAAGAGTAACTGTTAAGGAGCTGAATCGTCTTATCTCCGATGTACAGGAGTGCCCGTCACAGGCAGAAAGTAACTGGTAGGATTTTCACTTATATAAGCCAAATATCAAGTTTTGCTGAGTTTTTTATGTGTGGACAGATGCTTTTCTAAAGAAGTGTCTCACTTTTTTCATTTTTGCAGCGTCTTGGTTCTCTCTTTCCTCTTTTCGACGTTCACGCGGAAACATTTTCTCATAAAATGCAGAATATCTAGTTTTATCGATTTTTTAAGCGGCTTACTTTTTCAAATTTTTGACGCGTTTTGGTCCTCTTTTCTTTTTTTTCTGAATATTTCATGCGAAAAAAACCATAATTGTGTCCTTAATTGACCAGTTTCTGGTAGGGGTTGGCAATTCTTGTGACACTGAAGTTGCATACAGCGAATTACGCCCTTAGGCCTTGGCCAGAGTTCGCTCAAAAGCGCCCAAAAGCGCCCAAACTTCTCTAGCGTCTCCTCACTCTCTCTCATTTCTCCTCGCATATAAAAGTGAAGAGACACCAGAGAAATTTGGGCGCTTTTGAGCGCTTTTGGGCGCTTTTGAGCGCTCAGCAAAGCCTGGCCAGGGCCTCATCGTTTTGCCAAGCGAGAGGGTGTGTATAGTTGCGCTTTTTTTCTGTATTTTTTCATGTTTGCCTTTGCCGTTGCCACTGTGATCTTATTGTAAAAGCAGTTGTCTTGCTTACCCAAAATTTGTGCAAATCTGTGTACTTTCAGGTATGTAGTCAGTAATACACGGTGGTCGAAAATTCTAGACGTTGAAGTTACGAAGTTGATAGTTAACTTGCAACTCATGACAGGCATGTACTCCTCCGAAGACGAAGAATATACTCCAAACTACCTCAATCTCTCCTCTCCTTTTCTCGGTTGGTTTACAAAATTCGGCTTTCCTATTGCAAACCAAACCTTCAGATAAGGAAGACGTAGATAAAGAGAATGTTCCTTCGGGTAGTTCCATCGGCACTCCATCTAGTAGTCAGGCCAATGTGCCGTCGAGCAGTTGAATCAACAAGAACATTTTTTGCAAGCGCCCTACGGTCACTGAAAGTTTTCTACCAGTTTCTTCTGACTTGCAGCCTGCAACGACATCCGCTTCTTCCACATCCTCCAGGGTTAGCTGTCACGTTCACGTCTTCTAGTGTTTGGAATGGGATGGGAGTATTCTAGGAGCTTTAAAGCGACTCCTGGAGGAAAACACTATGTCTATTGCGAAGTTAGGGAGAGTTGTGCGCCAATTTGACGTCACTGTTGAAAATGAGGTGATAATTATATATATTAGGTTGTCCCGAAAGTTTTGTCGGTTTTTTCAGACCACTGTAAAACCACGCACAATAAAGACTTGAGTGAGTTTTAACATGCACTCGATGTAGCTCTTCCTTCTCTTTCTTACAGATAAACTTTCATATCATAATGTTATATGCTTTCTTTGGTCATTGCCGAAATTCTCCACCTATCAATTTTTCCTGCTCAAAGTTGAGATAATTTTTAAAAATTTCGTTACAAAGTTTCGAAAAAGATGTAGTATGGGTCAAATAGAGCAACTCTCGGGCTACAAGATGGTATTTTTAGATTCTCTTAGTTTGCTGATTTTGACTTCAAAAAGTTATTTCTTCTGATGTCTCGATTTTTGACTAAGTCATGAAACGCGCAATTGCAGCAAAAGCATGAAAGCTTTTGAAGTTTTTGCGAATTCAAACTTGATTGTTATTGAACATCATTTATGCAACATAATTAAGTTTGATTTGCTTCAAAAATCAGCTTTTTGGAATTTTCGGTAATTTTACGTGGTAAAACTTGTTCAAAAAGCCGCGGTTTTTCTCAAATAAATAATTATTACGGACTTGTCAAACATAGCCCACGTAATCTAAAATAGCCACAATGTAGCCAAAGGTTTGCTCTACATAACAGTCACCAGCGCTCGTCGAAAATATCAAGATAAAAATTTTGAAAATTCAGGAAAGTTTTGGCGTTACTGCTGAGGTGATCAAAAAGCCATGGCGATAACATCGCAAAGACGGGGTAGATTACGGAACAAATATAGCCATAAGAAAGAGAATAAAAATTTGAATAGAATGACACCTAAGCCGTTCATGGAATGGTATTTTGTGAGGTTTGGTGAGCGATGAAAAAAACCGACAAAACTTTCGGGACAACCTAATATATACACAGGGTGTCCCAAAAAAATGTTTCGAACGTTTGATCGTTAATATCTCTCTTCCCAAAAAGTCTTTTGCCTTGCTTCAGGTACCGTTTTGTAGAGCTGGCTTCCTTAGATTTCCATTATAGAACGAATCACTCATCTCTCTTCATTACTGTAGGATTACGGTAGAAATTTCAAAGAGGGTTTTGAGTTATGAGAGGCCATATTTTGCCTCAGAAAAGAAACAAAACAGCCTGAAAACTTTTATATCTAGGCTAGTTAGAGTTGCTGATTCTAACTGTAAAGTTCCCAACTTATTATGATGCTTCATTGAAGAGTTATGCCAGGTAAGAGGTAGTAACCATTTTTTCAATATACCTAAAAAGTGCGGTTACACCGTTAGGAAAGCTTCGCAATCTTGTGAATAGTTGAGTATTGAACTCAGCGTCCGTAAAAACCCTATTACACAAGTTTTCACATTTTTTTGAAAAATTTTGAAACGGCAGCTTTTTCCACATTGACACCATATGTTCCAAGTTTCTACCGTAATCCTACCCTAATGAAGAGAGATGGGTGGTTCGTTCTATAATGGAATTCTAAGTTGAAGCCAGCTCTACAAAACGGTACCTGAAGCAAGGCAAAAGACTTCTTGGGAAGAGAGATATTAACGATCAAACTCGAAACATTTTTTTGGGACACCCTGTATATTAGCTTGTCCTAAAAGTTCTTGCGCCGGATTTTCAAAAAATCATAACTTCCTTTTTTCTCAGCGATTTTTCTCAAAACTACTTTTGTATGAAAGAGAAAACCTTCTTCTTTATAGAGGTGCCTTTGCCATGAATTAGCGTTGGTAAGTTCGAGAGTCAAAAGCAATTGAAGGAAATTAGTCAAGATCGACATTTTTCAAGCTGGATTACGAAAAATTCTGGAAGTATATTCATTTGATAGAGGAAATTTTGCACATTACAGTGGTACCTTTTCTATGAATTAATAGGAAGTGTATCGAGAGTTAGAAGCAATTAAACAGAATTTCTTCGCTTTTGCAATTTTTGAGCATGCTCAAAAAACCTCGAAAACGTAACAGAAAAGGCGAAAAAGTCATAAACATGGGTTTTGTGACCTTTCCTTTTTAGCTGAGCGAAAATCGTGCCAATCAGGGGCAGTTTTCATTTTCGTGAAAAAAGCAGACCCAAAAATCCGAATAAATCACGAAAATCAAAATTGCTCCCGATTGGCACGATTTTCACTCAGCTAGAAAGGGAAGGTCACAAAACCTATGTTTATGACCTTTCGCCTGTTCTGTGACAAAAAGTGCAATACTGAAGAAATTCTCTTTATTTGCTTCTAACTCTCGATCTACTTCATCTTAACTCGTGGAAAAGGTACCACTGTAATGTGCAAAATTTCCTCTATCAAATGAATATACTTCCAGATTTTTTCGTGATCCAGCTTGAAAAATGTCGATCTTGACTAATTTCCTTCAATTGCTTTTAATCTCGAACTTACCAATGCTAATTCATGGCAAAGGCACCTCTAAGAAGAAGGTATTCTCTTTCATATAAAAACAGTTTTGAGAAAAATCGTTGAGAAAAAAGGAAAAGATCGAGAGTTAGAAGCAAATAAAGAAAATTTCTTCAATTTTACAATTTTTGAGCATGCTCAAAAAAGCTCGAAAACGTCACAGAAAAGGCGAAAAAGTCATAAACATGGGTTTTGTGACCTTCTCTTTCCAGCTCAACCGAAATCGTGCCAATCGAGAGCAATTTTGTTTTTCGTGATTTTTTCGGATTCTCAAGCTTGCATTTTTCACGTAAGTCAAAAATGCCCTCGATTAGCTTCAAACTCACTCAGCTAGAAAGAGAAGGTCACAAAACCTATGTCCATGACTTTACCGCATCTTCTGTGACGTTTTAAAGCTTTTTTGAGCATGCAAAATTGCAAAAGCGAAGGAATTCTCTGCATTTGCTTGTAACTCTCGATCTTTTTCGTTTCATCTCATGGGAAAAGTACGTAATGAGCATAATTTTCTCTATCATATAAAAATACTTGCAGAATTTTTTGCGACCCAACTCGAAAAATGCTAATTTTGACTAATTTCCTTCAATTGCTTATAACTCTCGAAGTTTTTCAAGTTAAATTCATGGCGAAGGTACGGTTGTAAACAGCATGGATTCCTTTTCCGAACAGATGCAAGCTCAACGAAATCCATCTAGAGGCAAGGAAGTTATGATTTTTTTGAATGTGATGCGCAAGCACTTTCGGACCAACCTAATATATGTTCTGCTGAGAGTGATGGGAATACTCATGTAGTTTAAGGAGATGCTCACGTCCAAGATAAGCGACATCAAAATCAACGTGCAGCACGTGAAGAATATGCAGACAACCGTCGAAACACTTCCAAGTTCATCAGACTCGGTTGTCCGAGCACTTACTTCCGTCGTGAGGGAGCAAATGAATACCACTGCAGGATTGTCTCTAACAGTAAGCGTGATTTCGCAGGGTTCAAGAATAACAATTGGCGTGTTCGCAGGTGAACGCCCTACTATCTAAGCTGAGGGAAAAGACAAAGAGTTGAAAAGGACTACTTTTCACGTTGCAAAAAGTCAAGAGAAATCGTTGCCAGAGGGTTACTCACTAGAAAGAAAAAATATATCCAGGGTCTGGCATCGTGAGAGTGCACCACCCTTCAAGGTCAGACACTATTCTCAGTCAACGAGGAAAAATTATTGGTTTCAGGAGTTTAATATGGTTGAAGTCATGGAAAAGTGGCAGAGACCAAAACGCGCGCGTAAGCATGATCATTTCCTTTTGGTGCTCGACTTTTTGCGCCACTTCTTTCTAAACGTAAGCGACAAATAGATGAAGATGATAAGGTTGTCTTGTAATCACCGTTTAGGCCTGCGAACCACCTACGGAAATTCAACAGTACGCCTGTAGACAGAGCGGGAAGAAGGGAAAATTTGAACCATCTTAAGGACCTCCCGGAAAGATTAGTCGATTTCTTAATAAGTGGGTCAATGTGTGTTTGAGTACATTACTTTCAATAACTGATTTAGATTTCATCCTTGACGCTCTTGGCCTATACCGCCACCAACTTCTGCGGACGCCAGATGAGCATAAACGGAATCCAAATAAGTATGTATAGTAAGTTCTCGAAAGACCTTCATGTGCACTAGAATTCAGGCGGTGGTTGGACTTAGCCGAAAATGACGACGCTCGCGAAAAATTATTCCACGTCTTCTCAGAGAAAAGAGTAACATGGAGCGGTAAAGCGAGGATAGCAATTGGGAGAACTTTGTGAGTTTTTTCATAAAGAAAGCGATACTTCTAAACTACAATTTTGCAGGGAAGACATTCGAAGGTATCATTTTGACCCTGAGTTTTATACGATCCTGGTAACAATAGTTTTTTATTTTCAGAAAAAGCGCGTCATGGTCGAAGGCAGCAGTGTTACCAGAGAAGACGTAACGATCCAGAAGACTGAAAACGAAGATGAAGTTGAAGTAGTCGTAGAAAATTAATGCTGTTGTCATTCTTGATCGTAGTTCTTTCGTAAGCTTGTGTGGTTGCGGTGCTTTGATTCCTATACTTGCTGCTGACTGTGCATGTTATTTCGATGTTATAGTAAACGCTGCTCGAGAAGATCTTGTGTATCTGTTAATAAATTTCGCACGTAAGACTGTGTTTTTTTAGCAGAAAAGTTACAAGCATAAGAAGTGGGACCCAAAGAGATTAAGGACGTTAGGTAAGTGAAAAGGGAGGCGTAAGAAAGGGCATAGAAGACGCAAGAACCTGTTAAATAAAAGCGTACGCTGCGTGCTCTGAACGCGATCGGGACATTTTGGTGTCTCGCGCAGGTGTCCC